GTTTATAAAGTAAATATTTTTTCTTAAAAGTTATCTCTATGAAATTTGGTGAATCGGCATTTTAGCCTAAATTTTAATTTTTTGTCTCAGCGCCAATGTTTTAAAAAGTTTTTTAAAAAGTTTTAAAACATCTAAAAAACTGTTTAAAATGTTTTTTTTTTCATCCCTACCACATTACACAGGACAGGTTGAATCAATGAATATCAGGTGCAATACCGTATGCAAGTTTCCTGATATGTATCCGATAGACTGCCATAGATCTGCCAAATACTTACTGAATATTTTGGCAGCATATTGATAAGTTATTATTCCTGTGATATGATCATGTAAAAATTTTTTGCCTCGATATTATTGTCATAAAATAACATCATTATTTATGCAAAATGTCACGACAAAAAATTTTACATGCTAATATAATATGAACAATAACATCAATATTGGACATATGAAAATAACAAGAAATTTTTCTCATCGGAGTTAATGTCACTCATGTGCTGCTATGCAGCACATGGGAGTAACATTAATTCTGATGAAAAAAAAATTCCTTGTTATTTTTTATCGTACGCCCAATATCTTATACATATTAGAAGGTAGATCGATATCCACAACATAACAGCAAAATATGTATTGGGATATCCCGATATCTTACTTTAGGCCCAGAGTGCTAAGAGTAAGATATCTGGGTATTCCAATATTGTGCTGTTATGTTACTGATATTGATCTATCTTACTAATATGCTGCCAATATGCTGCTGATATTCAGCGGATCTATAGCAGACTATCAGGTACATATCAGGAAACTTGTCTCCCAGCATGCACCTGATATTTATTGGTTCAACTTGTGTTAGTCTATAATTAATATCTGCCAAATTATGCTGATTATTATGAACGGTTCCATATGATATAGGGTGTGAAATATCCCTATTTTTAATATCTGTTTCAGCGTTATGTTTTATTAATGTTAGCATTAGAAAATTGTGTGAATTGTTATAATATGTTTTTAAGAAGGTATTTTACATCTAATGAAATTTTTTGTTTGTTTAAATTATAGTGTCTCATATCAATATATTTAGTTTATACCTGATATTTATTTAAAACTATAACTTATAACTATTTTGTATTGGAGTTGTCTTCTGTTCCTGGTTTAGCACGACAATGTCGCGCAGCTACTTATTAATAATTTTTAATTTTATTTAAAAAATTATAAAAACTTTTTAAAATTTCAGGAAAATTTGCCTGGAATACGGTTTAAGAGATTAGATAAAATAAATAAAATTTAATTCTGAAAAACTTTAATTAAAAGCTCAAATAGAAAAAATTATCACAGTATTTAGAAAATTAACTATGAATAATCATAGCCATATATATACCTAATGGCTGCTACAGGTAGTGAAGAACCCCATGTTTGATGATAAAGTACTACTACTACAATAGCAGTAAAGTTGTGATTAGGGCTCCATGGCTGCTATAGCAATACAAAAACCCATGCTGTGATTAGGCTCTATAGCTGCTGCAAGATGTAAGAATCTTATGTATAGTAATAACTACAATAGCAGTACAAAGATCTCCTGCTATAATTAAGCTTTATAGCTGCTACAAGCAGCGCAAGAATATCATATTTGGTTATTAAACACTATAACTATGATAGCAGTGCAAGAACCTCACATTGTAATTAGACTCTATGGCTGCAAGAATCCCATGTGATTAGGCCCTATGGCTGCCACAAGCAGTAAAAAACCTCATGTTTGGTAATTAAGCACCGTAACTATAATAGCAGTGCAAGGATCTTATATTGTGATTAGGTTCTGTAGTTGCAATAGCAATATAAGAACCTAATGTTGTAATTAGGCTCTATAGCTGTTACAGGCAGTGCAAAACTCTTATATTTGGTGATTAAGCTCTGCAACTATATTAGCAGTGCACAAACTCTGTGTTGTGGTTAGACTTTGTGGCTGTGATGACAATACAAAGGCCTCATATTGTATTTAGACTCTATAACTACTGCAGGCAGTGCAAGAACCTTATTTTTGCTGATTAAACACCGCAACTATGATAGCAGGCAAGAACCTCATGTTATGGTTAGGCTCTGTAGCTGCAATAGTGTAAATTAATCAAAATTTAACCAAATTAAAACTAATAATAATAGTTTTCATACTTACTAAATATGGTTAAGTATATTGTATTGTTTAAAAAAAATTTTTTTGTAACAAAATAAACTATTACTATATATAATCTATCCAAGCCATATCTTATTTTAAAAAAAAAGATAATAATAACACTTTCCTGCTAAATTCCATATAATATTATCTATGCATACTTTATTTACAGTTTAGTTATATCTACAATTTAACAAATCTGAAGAATAGAAATCTATAAAGTACAGAACAATTAACAAAGTATAAGGTAAAAGTTTCATTTAAAGATATTCTACAAACATATATATATATGTACAATAAGTAGATAAAGATCTATCTGATAGAATTTTTTTATTATTCCAGAACTATCTCAGATAATCAGACCTAAACATGTTCATAAACTTTGAACTAAACTTCAGACCAAACCAGACTTGGTTAAAAAGTTCATGATTGAACTCAAACCAAATATAGCCTTAAAAAAAGTCTGAGTTTAAGTTTGGTTTAAAATCAAACCAAACTTAGACTTAGCCAAAAGTTCAGTTTAGTTTAGTCTGATAGAAGCACTAGTGGGTAGTAAGACATTAATATTATATATTTTATTTTAAAGTTCTTTACTATGAATTTTATTACTTTGTTATTTAAATATACTCCTCTATCTGATATTATATAACAAGAGCATTTATAGTGACAAACAATCTCATTGAAGATAAAATAAGCTGTTTGCTGAGTATTAGTATTAAATATGGCTTTGGCTTTAGGCTATAATCTACAGCCATAATTATATAATGATTGTCACTTGTTGTTATTTCAAGAAATTTTACAAAGTCAATACCAATTTTGTGAAATGAGGCTTTACAAATATAGATTGCAATGATCCAGGGGTTCTATATTTGCCTTATTTTTGATATGCACTACATGTTCTAACATGTTCTCTAATATGTTCATACATTTGGAGTTAATAATATTTATTATGGATCTTATTAACCATTTTATTAGTTTCTATATGTATACCTAAAAGATGAGTATAATGTATATATAAAATAGATTCTACTTTTTTTGTTTTAATTACTTTTAGAAATTGATTTTTTGACTTTTTTCTTCAATCTTTTTTATATAACAGGTAGTTATATAAAATAAAAATTTTACTTTAGGATTTTATTTGTTTCTTTTGTTGGTTTGTAAACTGGGCTAGATATATGGCTTTTTCTAAAAAGTTTTTAATTTGTTTATATTTACTTGCTTCTATTTGGTTTCTATTATTAGATTAATAATTTGTATAATAGCAAGAACTAATCTGCAAAGTTTTACATCATTTAAGGCTAGGAAAGATTAAGATTTTGTTCAAATAAGTTAAACAAGGTTTAATATCTTCCACCAAACCAAATTACAAAGATAGATATCACTTTAATTATTAAACTTCCTGTGATGATTTATTGATAGAGTTTTTAAGAGTTTCAATTACCATGGTTGGTTTAGCAAATAGTCTTCTTCTTCTTTTATAGATTCTTCAATTAAAACTATTAGATTTTCTAAACAAATTGAAATTTTATCCAAATACTTAGTTCTTGAGTCTTCTATATAGTCTTCTAGTTGGCTGCTACTAGTTTGATCTTCAAAGACAGGTGTTGCCCAATAGCACTTGGCAATTTCTTGGAGTAGATAATTTTTAATTGTAATTCACAATTTTAGATTACACTTATATTTTGTACAATTATCTTCTAGTAAGTATAACTTATTACCATATCAACACTGTATATTTGGATTCTTTCAATCATGAAGCCAATATTTACTTTTTGTTTTCTTATTTAACCTAGCACTTATATACTTTATATAATAATATATACAGAATTGGCTATTATATCTTATACTCTGCAAGAAAAACTTCACAATATTATATAGATAAATTCCATATAATACTGAAGCAGACAGATTGAGTCTTAATATTTCTTCTACCTCCTAGTATATTCTTTGAGATAAATTATCAAAAACCTTATTGCTAACTAATATTTCATCACTCAGGCCTATAAAGTATACTAATTGCTTTTCTTCTTTAATCTTATCATTTAATCTAAATAATATATCTATATTATTATACTTCCTACTACAGTACTAAGATGATGAATAACTGTAAAGTTATATAGCTTTAGTCTTAGGATCTATTAGATATGTTTACTCTTCAATTCAGAAGTCCTCAACTATTATAAGGCAAAATAGTTGGTAATTAAAAAGAATGGCTTAAAGCCCAAATATTGATAAAAATACTTTATAGCTTATATAACTACAAAACACTCTAATTTAGATATTAAATAATTTTTTTCATGCTTATTTAAACTTCAGCTTGTATAGGCGATAACATATTCTTTATTGTTATCATTTAGTTGAAATAAAATGGCTCCCAATCCAGATATTGAAGCATCTGTATACAGATAGAATAGCCTATAGAAATCAGAATATTGTAATATTAGAGCAGTTATAAGGCAATCCTTTAAAGTATTAAAGGCTTGTTGCTATTCTTTATTTCACCTATATGGCTTATTTTTTTGTAACAACTGATTTAAGAGTTTGGCTATTTTAGAAAACTCCTTAATGAATTTTTTATAATAGGATGCAAAATCAAAAAAGATACAAATTTGTTTAATTGTAGTAGTTATAGGAAAATTTTTAATTTTTTCTATCTTTTTATTGTTAGAAATATTTCTTCTTGCCCAATCATGTGATCTAAAAATTTTATTTTTTTAAAAAAAAATAAATATTTTTCTGAGTTTAATTTTAGATTAGCTTCTTTAAATTTTTAAAAACCTGTTGAAGATACAAAAGGTGATCTTTAAATTTCTTTGAGTATATGGTGATATCATTAAGATATACAAGCAAGAATTTGTTGATAAAAGGCCCTAATATATGATTTATCAAATATTGAAATATTAATGAGGCATTATATAAACCAAAAGACATTACATTAAATTCATAAGTTTCAAATTTTGTTATAAATATAGTTTTTTTTTATCTTTTTCTCTAACTGCAACCTGCCAATACCTACTTGCCAGGTTAAAACTAGAAAACCACTTGGCTTCTTCGAATACAAAAAAGATTTCATCTATATTAGGCAAAGAATTTTTTTTTTTCTGTTATTATGTTTAACTTATAGTAATCAATATATCTCTTTTTCTTGTTATTTTTCTTAGAAACAATAACTATAGATAAAGCCTAGGGCTTTGCACTTCTCTTATTATTCTCTGCTTTTCTATTTTTTCTAACTCTTCTTTAAGAAATTCTTGTTTGTCCAGGGCTATACTATAGTATCTTTGCTTTATTAGTTTGGCACCACTAGTATTTATCTTATAGCAGACCAAATTGATATGCTCCATTCTTACAGTTTGTCTACTTTTACTTATCTTTTATACAAAAGTATAGCAATTTCTTTATAACAAGTCTTCTACTTGCTTGTATTGTTCTTTACCCAATTCCTTATTTATATTAGATTTAAATTTATCTGCTTTTTCTATTACTGTATTAGTTAAATATATAGCTGTATTATCTTTAGCCTATGAATTATCTTTTTTTAACTCAATAATATCAAAAAAGAAGACTTCTTAGATTTCATCATCATCATCTTTAATTTGTCAACTTATTCATCTTTATCAGTTTTTGAGTGTTTATCTATTTTTATCCCAAGTTGTTCTATTAACTTTTGGGTTATTATACTTATAGCTGCTCTAGAATTCAAGATGTAATGACTAAAGTTTCTTTAATACAAATATGATATTGTATTGCAATAGTCTTATACAAACTATCCAAATTTAACTGATTTGTTTTACTTTTTAGATCTTTTTTTCTTCTTAAAGCTTTTGCTAAATTATATCTCTGATTTGAATACTAAAGTAATTGACTATAAATAGCTTGCACTCTTGTAAATAATAAATCTTCAGATATATCATAAGGCTTAATTTTATTTACTACTGAAGGTTGCTGTTTCTTTATAATTCTCTTGGGCTTACCAATCTTCATTGGAATTTCCTCTTTTTGCTCTTTGTTTGTTTATACTTAGTTCTTAAAAGTCTTATTAAGCAATGCTTGTTTTTTTAGACTTACTTTGTTTTTGTTTTTTCTTTTGCTTCTTTCTATTTGTACTATAAAGTTGGGTCAAATTATATATAACTCCTCATCACTATCACTACTTTCTTCTTCAATAATAGCTAAATTTTTTTTTTTTTTTTTTAATATTAAAGGTGACCACTTAGGCCATTGGCATGAGCTTTATTTGGATAGTTACGATAT